TTGCCTCCCTAGGCTTTGTGTGCTTTACAGCAAGTTTCCACCTTGGTTTTGGGGTCCGATTTAAATTTTAGTTGTGCCTTCCTGTACAACAGAAATAACAATCCTTAATTGTTATTAATTCTCCATTACATATTATTAGAGCATGCTGATATGCTAATTAACTTGTAAAATTCAGTCCCGAATACTTAGGCAAATCATTTCAGAGGAAATCATTTCACACCGCAAACACAAGAGACACCCACACAGCACAAACTCAAAAGTAAAGGTCAGTCCTTCCAGTCCAGTATAATGAAAAGCTATGACCATTTTCTTCCTATGCAGCTTTTAACAAACATAGTAATCTATGTATTTCTGCTTACAAACCCATCAAAAAATTAAACATTCTACTGCTAATGTACTTGGCATCAGGAGGAGAAGTACCATTATCCCCAGCAGATGAGTGAGGAAACAGAGAAATTGAAATTAAATTCACAAAGGAAGCATGTGGCAAAGCAGAGACTTTGGACTCCATGTCTCCAGACCAGCATATTAATCACAAATTTCAGTTGTGGGTTGCTTGTTTTTTGGTTTTTTGTTTTTTTTTTTTTTTTAAATCTTTCCGTCTCTCCCTGCTAGACTAGAGTAACAAGCAGTTTTAAGTAGACATAGGCTTTTGATGTTCTGTTTCCAGAGCACTTTAAGTCTTCCATCACTGTTGAAATGCCAACGGCTGGCAGCAGTAGAAGTGAAAACACAGAACCTTTATCTATTCAGAGCTATACACATTATCAGCTTTGTTCACACCAAACTGGGGAAGAAGTAAGAAAGGAAGGGTTATTGGAGAGACAGACTAGAAGAAGGCTGCTTGGTGAAAGAATTTGACTGCCTGATTCTGATCACAGATATCAGCATCTTTACACCAAATTCTTTTTCATTTCCAGAAAAAATGTTTTGCAGTTTTGCCATAGTAGTATCAAGAGACCTGAATAAGTAAATTCCGACTGTGGTATTTGGTCTAGCTTTTGCTTTCTCCCAGAACTTCATGCAACCACAGATGGTATATTCGTCCTCATTTTGTTACTGTCTGGTAACAACTTACTAACTGTTGTTACTTAGCCTGTTGACACAACAGCCCTATTGTTGTTTACCTTAATATAATCAATAGATTTCAACTGTAAACTGTGTCAGTGTTCTTTGTGTCATACCTCCAAAGCTATGAAGTTAAAGCAACAGCAAAGTTTGACCTTTAAGTATGAATAATTTTTGAACACAGGGTGTCCAGCTAAACTTTCCTAGCAAAACTGTTTCAATAAATTCACAAGTAACAAACTATTTCAGTTTCACATTCTTGCTCAGCATCACTAATTTTTCACAACTCTGTTGTAGAAACAAATACATTTTGACCGCTATTTGATCTCTATAAAAATCTTTGCTATTTTTAAAAAGAGTATATACTTTATTCAAAATACTAAGACTTTAGTGATCATTCTGACATCCTCATAAAAGCCAAGGCAAATTTCTGTTTCATGCATTTCAGACATGTCTAGTAAATTTGGCTTCACCTTTTTTTTGGAAGAAGGATGTTGTGCAAGAACATGTAACTTTTACAGATCAGTCTCAAAACCCTGCAAAATTGATCATTAAAATTTCATATTTAGCAACATAAATTTCTGCTTCACGACAAGGTCAGTCATTGGATAGACACTCTAGTGGCTAAAGAAAACGCACACGGCAGCTCCACAAAACAGGTACTTTAAAAAGTAACAATGACTTTTAGTGATCATGCTGACATTTTTTATTTAAACTTGTATACCACTTGGATACAACAGAGGAATATGGAGAGTTGTCCACAGTGATGTGTTTTGTTAGTGGTGCTTTAAAAAAGTCCAGGGTGTCTGTTCCAAACTGAAAGCTTATTCTACATTGGCAGATAAAACTATAAAAAAGAGTTAATACACAGTCATCCTTTCTGTTTACCAGGCTATCCTCATTATGTTCCCGCTATCATAAAAAGTAAACCACTCCCCGAGCTAACTCACATTCCTGACCCACCCATCAGAAATAGTTTTTCAAAGTCATGACTGTTAAAATGCCAAAGGTAGGGAACAAGTTTGATGGCAAATCTTGCTGACAAGCCTCATCCTTCTTTACCGCATATGGACCATATTTGAGCAGTAGTATCCCTGCCTATTGCAAGATCAGTGCTACCACCATTAGTTTAAAAAAAAAAAAAGTAATTGCTTGATGTTGATGTCAACAACTTGATGCAACTAGTTATAATTACCTGCTTATTATTTTGTAAGGTTATTTGGATGGTTTTGCTAATGCTAGAATACATAGCTCCTCCAAAGAGACAAAATGTAGCTCAAGAGTCAAGCAGATACCTCGGGATAACTAGAGGCAGGGGATAACAAGTTCCAACCCGAAGTAATTTAAGTCTGTCATTTTTCTATTTTACACTTTTTGTCACTGCAATTTCTATTCCTCACAAAATGTTACAAAAATTATCGTTTTCTATGTTTTCTGAAAATACTCCTCTTGCAAGAAAAGTGTATCTACTGTCCCTGACCGCTCTGCAAACTGGTTTAACCAGTTTCCAAGAGGGAGGCTGGTGGGAAACAATAGGGCAGGGACAGAGAGCCACATCATCAACAGGAGCTGTTTCAAGTTTTTGTTTCGTCCAGCTGCTTCTCCCTCCACTCTTCCAAAGGCAGTAGACCCCTGCCCACGGGGTGACCACCCATCTGTCCCCCGGCAAAGGCTGGCAGCTTCATCTAGATTGCTGTCGCTGCAGGTTTCAGTAAATAGTATGAGTACTCATGGGAGGAACATTAACTAGTCTGTATAAATATTTAGATGCTAAAAGCTAAAATGGTATGATTTGCCTTCTCCCTTGCCAAAAGCAATGCTGAGCATCAGCAACTTAACTCTGCAAGGGGGAATAATGACAGTAAAAGTACTTAAGTAAAAGCCCTTTTCTGGAGTTCTGTAATTGTTTCCATGGTTTTTACTTTTGAGATGTTCTGCATGCTGTAAATGGCAAGAGATCCAAGAACTAATACGTACCTCCACTCCGGAAATGGTCTCAGTGTTCTCAGAACAAGCTTCGATTTTCAAGCAATTCCAGATGAAAAAATAAACCCCCCCTTAATTCCTGTACTCATAAACAGCTGCTATCCAAAGTCTAACAGTTTAAAACACTCTCAAAGACCATTGTAAGAAGACAGGGACTGTGCCCATGCACAAAATAGCACATTGTTTTTTAGACTGTTTTTTTACCTTTTTTACACTAACTCTTAAGAGGCCTACAGGAATTCAGTTGACAGCAAAAAATTATTCGCTAATACCAAAGTGGATTTTATTGTTGGAAGCAGTAATTGATGTGCATTTTTCCGCTTTGTTTTACTATCCTGTCTTCATTATTCAGCCCAGCCTTCACTCTCAGGATGAGCCAGAACACAGGATGAGAAAGAAGCTCTTGAAACCAAGAAGCACCTTCTCATCCTTGCAAGACAATATTATAAATTTTAGATCCAGTTCAGTTTGAAAAGTAGTCAGATTATTATTTCCTTTCCACTACGCATACACACATCTATGTGAAATAGAAGTTGACTTTAAATATCAGTCTTTTTAAACTGTTTTATATCTGTTTGTTATGTCAACTTCTTTTTCCACCGTATGATCCCCTCTGTGACCATGTATTTGTATAGTAAACATAGCCTAACAAGAAATGGATGGCAAGAATATAAACACACCAAGCTCTCACTTATACCAAACCAAACAACCACCTCTTCATCCACAGAACATCTGATGTTCGTACTAGGACAACTGTGCAGATACAGAATAATTACCACAGGGAATTAGGGAAGCAGCTGTTATGTCCACTCCAAAGCTGAGTGCTATTAAGGAGGAGCGCTGATTTATAAAGGTGGCTAATAAAAACCAGTACTAAGTGCAGTCCTTCCAACAAGCACTTTAATACCTTCCGCATCCCCCCTCTCCCTCATGTCAGGTATTGTCAGGTTGTTGGTGACAATCTAGTAATACATTTGAAGCAATTTAAGAGAGCCTTGTTTTTGAACTTATTTTTCTAAAAAAAACCCATAACAAACCAATTTCTATTCCTCTTCCATTCATCCAGAAGTATCCATCACTGTTGTTGTGTTCCCAAGTAAAGACTGCAGCTACCATACCAGACCCATAAAATTTTCTCTTTAATACTACAGTAAACAATCCCCTTGTTTTATACCCTGCACCTGAGTAGCATTTTCTCAGGTTAGAACACGCATCCAGGAAAAAAGACAGACACTCTGTTGGGTAAAGGTGAATTTTATTGAAGTGATGGCCACATGAGAAGGCCAAAGACTTATTTCCAACCAAAACACTTATCTATTCAGACTAGCAATTCTGAAGTTACTACATCAAATATATTTTTATCTCTTCAAACATTTGGTTTCTCAGCTTGTGGATGGTAACTGCTATTTGCAAGGCTCCTAAAGGAGGTATTTTCACAGTACCAGTAATAACAGAACTATCAGGTAGTTGAGGAATTATTGGTGCACTGGGTGAAGCCAAGGCATAAGCCAAATGAAGCACAGGTGGTTAAGCTGCCCTCAAAGCCACTTAGTACAAACTAAGGGGAATTTAAGTATTCCTTCACAATTTCAGGATATATTGTCTGTTAGCAAAGCAAAAGGATGGAGGGTGATAACCAAAGGAAGATTTAAACTTAGAAAATAATCTACCCATGTATACTCTCATTAATATCTTGGGGAAGGAGGGTCAAAGCAACTCTTCTCTCCCACGTATCACTTCTAACATGAGTTCTCTTTGGCCATCTCAAACCCCAAATCCAACTGCTCACATCTACACTACAGCCTGACCAGTTCTGGTCTTTGAGTCTTTCAACTGGAGCATGTTTCACCTGCACAGATGAGTCTCCCTCTTGGGTAAAGGGAACATGAAAGGCATATAACCTGTTTCTGAGTCAGCACAGGCAGTTAAAAATCCAGCCACTCCTGTTTTTTAATATATACTCCTTAGGCTTGGGCTGAACGCAGGCTGATAGAAGAGTAAAAATTGGTCCTAAGCTTGTAAACTCTTCAGGCAGCAGCACTGTAAAAAAAAAAAACAACCAACCAACCAACCAACCAAAAGAACCAGAAAGCAAAGTCAGCACAGTGCTCTTCCAAAAAAGAGCACCACAGTATATCAGAAGCAACAGTACTAGTTAAACTTTAAATTGCTTTTTGAAAGCAGATCACAGCTACAATGCTGTACATTACAAATGCAAATATATGACATATAAAAAGTTTTCTATGCTTCCAGTCCACACTCTTCTATGCCATTTACTGCAAGTGTATATTAAACTTTGATATATTTGCTTATAGACAGTTTATTGCCACAAAGATAAGTTCTGGCAATCTCAGCAACAGAACACAGTTTAGTAGCAGTTAATAAAATACTTTTACATTAAGATCTTAATCTTCCATTGTAAAAAAAAAAATAGTAATGCAAGTTGTCCACTACATTCGTTAAGAACAATACTTGAGTTTTACTAAAAACAGTGAGCATGCAACTTAGACTTGAAGTAAGTCAATAAGCAACTGGTATTTAATACAGCCAGTGATATATGTTACTTGCATACATTTATTCACAGCTTACAATGTAAAATAATCTACAGTTCTGAAATATGTGCACTTTAAAAGGAATTTGTCACAGCTCTTTAGTGATAGCTGAGCAAGCATCGTGCAGAAAAGACTACATCAGGTCAGCTGCAAACTGATTTTGAACTAAGTAAGACAAAGTCATAGCCTTCCACTCATGTGCTTCCATTGTTAAAATCACAGCAGGAGAATGACTTGCACTTATTTTTATGCATATTTCAAATCTCTCCTGTCGCTCTGTTTTGGCATTCTTTTGAGTGACATTAACCAAATCCAGCTGTGAATAAGGAGTTTGAATTCAACGTCCGAGATCTGGAGCAAATCGTGAATGTTGGAGATGGCAATCATTTCAAAAGCAAATACAAGAAAGCCTAAATGTAGCCTCACATTTACCATCTACACTTCCAAGCTACAGATATCTAAAAGACTGGTCCCCATGCTACTACTTATCAGTTCGATAACCTGAAAGTACACAGAGAATGTTTTCGCTGGTAGCATGAAGACTCTAGTTAAGACACACACTGGAAGGGGAAAGGGCTTTGTTGATTGTGTACTGAAATATATACATGGGGCAAACAAACTGAAAGCACACTTACTGAACAGTTTATTCGCAATGTGTGCTGCCTTTCGGCTGTTACTATGTCCAGATCCATCTCAGCCCTGAATAAGGCCATATTAAAAGAATGAGCATCATTTCCGCAGGGCCTCAACTAAGACAGACAGGAAAGGAAGAATACTATTTAGTATTGGCATGTATTCTAGGAAATGATTCTTCGTAAAACAGTACAGGGAACATGACGAGTGAAAAAGGAGTGAAAAAGATGTAAAGATTGGCTGAATGGTAATCAGGGTTTAAAAACATGTGTTCACATTTTAATAACTTATAAATAAATTAGGATGGTGACTGGGAAGGGGAAAGAAGACTGAAGTGAAAGAAAGGTGCTGTCTTGATAATACAAGTAGTAATTCTATGGCAGAGATTTATTTTTCTTGAAGAAAACTAAACATTCTGTTGAATAACCTGGAACAGAAATTCTTTCGTCTGTGCAAAAGATTTGTGCAAACACAGAGAAGTGAGAGAAAGATATAACATCTTCAATCATTAGAACATTTTAAAAGATGCATCTATCGACAAAAGTTCTGTCCTTTTCTCTCAGAAGTTATTGTCAGGAGTCTGACCTACAAACTCCGTCATACTGAAGACACTAAGGAAGAATCTAAGTAGGTATGAGTAGTCTTTTTATTTAAGTACAACTATCCCTAGAGTAATGAAACATTCCTTCCTGGTCTTAACACAGGCTTCCAACCTCAGGGTAAAAAGCCACAGTTTAAGCCCTTTCCCCCAAAGCTTCAGGTCACTTACGACCTCTGATTCTTGAAGCACTATCCCAAGACTTCCACAGGTGCCATTAACCTCTACTAAAATACCACGCTCCAGATGTGCCAAGCATTATATTTCACATAGTTTTAGGCACCCTCTACATTTTGTGGACAGTTGCCCTCATATTTTCAATCCAGCTTTTGAAAAAAACATAAAAAACAACCAAGGCTAAAAATTTAGTCAAGTCAAAGCAGAAAATGGCATTTCTGTTTCTTAATAATCTTAGATTTTGTAAGCATCACCAGAAAAGAAATAATTCAATTTTAATTTCTTCAACATGCAGAGAATAACACTAACCATATAGATTAACAATCTGACAAAAATTCGTGAAAGAAACTGTAAACAATTTAAAATGCTTTAAGTCTAAAGTCTAGTTATTCCAGTTACTATATTAGATCAAGTTTTTAAATCAATGTCAAAAGAGCCATCACAGGTTTGTCAAATTGTTTCCAAGCAATCTGCAATTAATTTGTCACTTCTCATTATATTTCTGAGCATCAGCTTTACCATTTACAAGATTAATAGTTCACTGCTCTTAGAGCATAATACAGGGCAGTCTTCCAGAGCTACTGAGGGATTCTTTCTTAGAAGAGCCTAAAAAGCTGAAAATAACACACACAAATAAAAACCTGTAGTTCAGTGCTACAAAACCAACAGATTGTTCTTCTACATGAAGATTTCTCTTTTTTTCAACTGTGGAATGCGTTTAAAGATTCAGCGTTTCTACTATCTCATCGAAGTCCTGACCAGCTGTGGAGGTACGAAGCCCACCCAGAGGGCCGTGAGGTACTCTCTTCCTCACCTGAAGGAGGAAGAATAACATACTTCAAACTAAGTTTATTATCTTAGACAATGCATCATTTGGTTACTTGACCTTGTTGTGTGTTGTCCCCTCACCCTGTCTTTCAAGTGCTGTCCTTGTAAACTTGTTGAGGAGGTAACATTCAATACTCACTTGAGCTGCCACAGTTATATCCATTAATTTTATCACCATGTCCACTTTACTTTGGGTACTTAAGGATGCTTTAAAGAGGCTATTTATCACCTTTCTCCAGAAAAATTCAATCAGTGTTCAGAGTGCCAAAACAATGTCAAAATGATATGGCCTTAATTTACATCCCATTTTTCAAATGCAAAGCCTATCATGGAATGCGGTACTTTGCCACTTCCCTTATTCATGTGATTTTGTTCACAATTTTAAAATGATTATATATTCACATCGTACTTACTCTTTATATTAATTTAAAAATAAAGTATAGGTCTGTTGCTAATGAAGTACAAGAAGCTACAAGTTGTTATTGAGAAATATCTTTAAAAAGTTGTTATCTTAAAAAGTGTTTTTAAGGGGACAAACACACAAGAGTATTCAAAGTGGAGCCAGAACATTATTATACAGTCAGCTCTTGCTATAATTTCTTGCAAAGTCTTAATTCTGTTTATTTCTTCCCCTAGTTCCTTTATTTCTTAAAAACATATTTTCTTGAAGATATTTAAAAAGTTAATATATTGAAACTGCTATTAGATCTGCAGTACTGCCTTGAGAAGACCACTTTTAGAACATCTGCCAAGAAAGTAATTAATTTATATTAACCTCTATTTTAAGGTCTCTGACGAAAATCTTTACTCAAAACATGAACATACTTTGTTTTTACAACTTATTATCATCTTCCTAAAATATGTACGTTTCAGAAGTAGTTATATTTTACCTTGATTTTATTTATATTTTGGGTATTTGTTTTGTTTTCTGAAAACTGAATAGTAACTTCTCAGAACAAAATGGTTTTATTGCTAGCTCACTGGCATTATGCTGCTAAGCTTTGTTTTTCCTCAAAGGTTTACATAAAAGAAAGCACAGAATTTCAGTTGCCTTTATTTCCACTTTTCCTTTTTTTTTGTGATGATGTTTTGAACAACACTTACCTTGGGCAATTGCAACAAGCTTCCCCTTCTCTTCAGGGCTGAGCTGCAACATGGTGTCTATTACCGGGAGCAGCCTTTCTTTCTCACTTCCTGATTTTAGAAATATGAACTGCAATAGGACATTCTTCAGGTATTCTAGATTAGCCACAGACTTTTCTCTCTCTTGATTTCTTTCCAATCTTCTTATTTCATTCTTAAGAAGCTGCAGATGCGGAAAAAAAGATGCCATATTGTTTGCTTTATATAATGAGCAACTGAAAAAAGGTCTTTTGAAGAGCTAAAAAGCAAATTATGCAGCTTGCCTCAAAAAGAATAATGTGTGCATAGCAACATATTCTGGACAAAAATCCAGTGAAATTGAACATGTGATAATATTGTCCAGAAATAACTTTTTATTGATGAAAAATAACTTTTTTTTGATAAAATCTGACCAGTAGTTATACAGTACTAACTATTCAGTTTCAGTGATAAAGAGTTGAACAGTTAAATAAGCAACATGGATCAGAGATCTGACAATATTATCAGTCATTATGAAACATTTTATAAAAGGAAGTGTAACATGTTTAGCGAATGTGTTAACTTCAAAAATGTTTTCAGAAAACTCAGGGAGGTACAAATCAAATCAAACCAAACTCTCCTAGTACATGTATCTCTAAACATGTATCTTCTTTTCACTTAGATAAAAGGGGTTACAGGAAGAGAAACCAGACAATGCTTCCCTTGGGATTTACTGTTTTTACCTAAGTGAAAACAGTAAAGGCACTTTACTAAACACTGAACTTTCAAACTCTCCAAACTCTTGTCTTTTTTTCTGTAGCAGCTTTTACTCTCCTCCCCTGCCCCTACCCTGCCTAGAAACAGTGGAGAAAAAAACCCCAAAACCTGAAGTCAACTCTGGAAGTGCTAATTAGTCCTGTGGAATGAAAGCCCTTCCAAAATTAAGTTTTGCATCACCAAATTTTTATAGACTGGGATTTTCTGAAACACGTTTGGTGTTAAAACATTTGGTCTAATGAACAGACCATAGAAATTAAGAGCTGTCCCCACATTTCCTGCATGCGTGCTAACCTTTATTTGTTCCATTAGGATCGCATTGGTGGCTTCTGATTCACGAAGTAATTCATTCAAGTGATCAGCACTCTTCGCTGTTGTGTTTAGTTTCTGAATCAGTTCATCCTTGGTGACTTCTGTTTGCCACTGAGATGGTTCTGGAGTTAATTGGAAAAGAAAACTGATAGAAGGAAAAAGCACTTGCATCTACTTTACACTCACTTATTATTAGGATTTGATTAATGTAGTTTCTTAGAAACAAAGTCCATGCAAAGTCAGGCTGCAAAATTAACAGGCATCATTGCTGCCGCATACTTGTTTTGTCCTCTATTTATATATATATATATATATGAGGAGATTGGCATGTTCTATGTACATCAAAATACATGGTTATAATTTACCCCTTTTTTCCTACCCATAGATGGAGATTTTCAACAGTTCTCCACAAACTGTTCAATAGTGTTTTAAAACATGCTTATATACTAACATGTATTGTTTAACTTTTTTTGGGGACTCTTAGAATATTGTTCAAGCTGGCTTTCATTTTCATAGGAAAAAACTGAATAAATTTGTGTTCTAGTAAGCCACATTAAGATGTACAGACATTTTATCCTTTCATTAATGAGTTGAATCAGCACTTAATTGTCTCCAGTAGAGAGTAGTCCAGAATACAAAAAGTTCCATAACTATTCACTGACTTGCTCATCTAGTCTCTTCCCTTTAGAAAGTCACAAATATGACATCTTCAAATCACTAAAACCTGCAGCAATGTTTTATTTTTAGTCCTTACTCAAGGACAAAATTACTGAAATTCAGGGAAGTGTAAACTCAGCACCACTCACATAGGCTTGTGTTTTCCACCTGAAAACATGAAAGCAGAACTTCTCAGCTGTTTTGAAGGCACAAACTTCTGCAACTTATGTAGGCAAGTGCTTCAAAAAGCCACATGTTCTACCTACCATGTTTTGCTTGGGGGGAGTTCAAAAGTTGTTCCAAGGATGGTACATAGGTGCTTGTTGAAGAGACAGACTCTGTGTCTGTTGTTTCCATACCTTCTCCCTCTTCCCTAGCTACAGTGTGCACATCGAGTACAGGAAGGTCAGTGTTTCGCCGTTCTCTCAAGTTCTTCGTTGCTGGATTTGAAACAGTTGGACCTGAAAGATACTTACTGATTTGTCATCAGAATTAAATTGGTAGGGCTACTTCATAGGTGTGACTTCCTCTGATAGGAGAGCAGTACATAAAACAGTCTTCAAAAAGCAGAGGGAGGAAAGGGGAATATAAGGGAGAAAGCCACATACATAACATTTATGATAGAAAATACAGCCTTTCATCCCCAAATGACCATTCCAGTCAAAGCCTGTTTCTAAAGCCAAACTTGATTGGCAATTTTTATTTCAGTGACTGAAACCTTCATGCAATTCTTCCTCAATATGTGTTGTGTAACTATGAGTGTCAAAGGTTTTTAATGTGGAACAGAATTAGCTTTTCTTTCAACCAGTCCTGTGAGAGGTGTAAATTGTTTTGGTTTAATGCCATGTACATTATCCTGCTGCTTCAGTAACATATGGAAAGAGTAGCTTCTTATACCGTTACTGCTGCTTGGCAAATGTCCAACTACATCCTAATTAGTAACTTTAGAGATATAAAAATAGCACTTCAGCTTGAACACAATAAAATCTTAAATTAGAAGAGGGATCAAATACCAAGTATATCAATAGCAGTGTTAAAGCAGCTTTCAATATACTCTTCTTTAGCTTTATCCCTCATACTGGAGGCAGAGATCTCCAGTATGCTCCAAAATATGAGACAAGCTGATAGGAAGAGCACTGAATATTTATTTACAAAGTAATTTCCCTCCATCTGTCCAACAGTGCAGATACTGCAGAAGAGGTAACAGTGATACAGATTCTAGAACAGAACAGACTAGTTGCAGCGGAAAGGGACCTAAAATGATCATCTAGTCCAACTGCCTGACCACTTCAGGGCTGAGCAGAAAGTTCAAGCATGTTACTAAGGGCATTGTCCAAATGCTTTTTAAACACTAACAGGCCTGGGGCATCAACCACCTCCCTAGGAAGCCTGTTCCAGGGTTTGACCACCATCTTCCTTAGGAAGAAACGCTTCCTTATGTCCAGTCTGAACCTCCCCTGGTGCAGCTTTGAACCATTCCCATGTGTCCAGACCCGGGATCCCAGGCAGAAGAGCTCAGCACCTGCCTCTCCCCTTCCCCTCCTCAGGGAGCTGCAGAGCGCAATGAGGTTGCCCCTCAGCCTCCTCTCTCCAAACTAGACAAAAACTCGAGTCCTCAGCTGCTCCTCACTGGACATGTCCTCCAGCCCCTTCACCAGCTTTGTGGCCCTCCTCTGGACACATTCAAGATTCTACAGACACAGCAATAACAAAGACATGCTCCTTACTTGGTATCAGTGGATTGATATGGCATGCTGCAGATTCTCCAGAAAAAGTTTCTGGTGTATTACAGAAGCACACACTGTAAGTATGGTTTAGATTCAGACTCAGGTACACATATTTGTATCTAACCCAAGAAAACCTGGCATTATGACTTAAAGTTACCTCTAGTGCTTGATTCACTCTTCAGTTGGAAGAGCTGAGCTTCTACTCTGGACAGTTGTTGCTGAAGTGTCTCTACTGTCTTCCTGTGCTCTTCTTGCAGGTTTCTGACTTGATCTCTGAAATTGTTCCGGAGAGCTTCATTCTGCGCTGTCAGCTGACTCAAAGTCTGGGCATGCTCTGTTTTCATGACCATGTTCTCAGACTGTATTGTGCAGAGCCTGAAAACACCATATACACAAATCGTAAGAAATGAATGGCAAAACACTAATTTTTACATTTCAAAATTTTTAGAGCATAGTGTTCAATTTTCATGTATATGATTATCTTAGAATGACTGTGCAACTTTTTTCCATTTGAATTCCTCTTCTTACAAGGAAAGTGTAAGACTGAAAAAGTTACACTTATTACCTATCATATCAATGTACCGTGTTATATAAACTTAATTTCTATTTTGAACACAGAGTTCAGACATCTTTGGGAAAAAATTGAAGTATTAGAGACAATGTGGTCTAAACATTCTGAAATTAACATGACTCTTTATAGTGTCATACAGAGCATGTAACTTACCTTATACTTCACTTATTTTAATATTTATTTATCAACCACTTATGCAGGACTTCTGAAAACCTAAGTTTCTAAGAAGCTGTTTAGTTTTAAGCTTTAACTTTCAGCACAAAAGAGGGTAGCTGTTAGCAAGAAAAATAGCAGTAACACATCAATTGTACTTGGTTTGGAGGTACTCCAGAAGCAAGACAAAATTGTAACAAGCAATTAATCAAATGCATGTATGGAAAGACTAAGCATAGAACTTGCCCTTATAAGCATACAAACTTAAATATAGCCAGAGTAGCAAAGAGCTAGTATATGGACAAAGCGAACCTACTGTGATATGGGTTGTTTCCAGAAAAATGCAGAAAGACATAATTTAGTTGATGACAATGAATCATCATGTGGCTATCAGGAACAGAAAAACCAGTACAAAGATAGAGACAAGAAGTCAACGGTTCCTAATACTAAGCTGTAATTTCTAATGAATATTTCATGTGAACTTCTTTGTACCCTAAATAGAGAAGAAAAGACCCTTTTTGAAGAGGTCAAGTATTAGGTAGTCATTGATTTTTCAAGAAATGATATTGATTAAACAGATTCCTTTCAGTTTGAAAGAAATACCAAATTAAGATTGTGGCAAGCATAGACTTAAACCCCAGAACCTTCTGTAAAGAACAGCATTTGGTGGAACCAGGACTGGATATTTTGTCCGTGAAATAATTAGCTCTGCACTTAACTACCTTATTTTTCTAATAGGAAACATCCATAAAATTTAGTTGAGCAGTCCAACACAAACATAATGCTGAGCACTGGACTATGTGCTTAAAAAAAAAGTTAATTTTTAAATCTGATAGTTAATAGGTAGGAAGAGTACAGAAATCTCCAATTCCCTGATCAGCTACTACTTCATTTTCATTGCTGAAACTTCTGAAGGCTTATGAAAAATAGCAAACGATCCTTTTGAAAATTCCTTTAACTTTCTCAGTAATTATGCCCTTTTGTTGGGAAGTACAGTTATAGGCCACTACATGCCCAGTCCTTAAAATTCACACAAAATAAAATATCAGTATCTATTCATCAGCAGACCGTACTTTTCACGGAGTTCTGCCTCTTTTGCAACAGTCTCTTGCAGCATCTTATTGTGTCTTTCCAGCAGGGTGTCGTGTTCAGACTGCAACGCCTGGAGTTCAGACGCATTCATCTGTGAATTATGCTGAGCATCTTGTAGCTTAACTTTAAGTTGATCTATTGCTATTTCCAACTGTTGTCTACAAGGGGAAAAAAAGAAATAAACAATGTCCATTTAAAAATATTTATATTATTTAAGAATCTGTAATATATCCACAATATTTTGGATAGCTGATCCAAATTGCTTATTTCTTAATTAAAACAATACAGCACCATGACCAAAATAATCTATCTACTGCAGTCACGTTCTATTAGAAAAGTTCTGCTCCTCTTTCAATACAGGTACAAATCACATCCCATCTGAACTGCTGGGAATGTAACTATTGGGGTAGAAAGTGTTACCGATATCACTTTCTACTTCAAGCTGGTTTGAAGGAAAAAGAAGAATAGTATGTGGGATGCAGATGGAAGAAACAATTTCTTGTTAAAAGGGATGGAGGGTTTTTTTGTTTGTTTAGTAAATGCACATCAGTTCGATGAGATCAATACAGGAGACAAATGGTTGGAGCAGATTTCAAGCAAAGGACTAGAACATCGATCAATAAACTGTTGGACAGAAATAAATCAAAGTCAAATACACCAGCATCAGACATTCTCCTTTTATGCTTTCTGTATTTATATATGCAGAAATCTCCATTATCTCATGAACTGTAACTGTATATCTTATTAATCCTTAGTTTATACTGTAAATAATTAATCTGAAAACTATTTATCTGTTTATTGCTTGATTACTTGTCCACTTTGTTTCCAAAGTTACCCTCTTTCACAAGAACCTAACAACACCAGAACTTCTTAAAATTCTGCAAAAAAGGAAAGACTAAAGAAATGCAACCCTTGCTGTTTGCTTGCTTCAAAAGAGGTTTTTAAACAAAAAACCTCGAACAAACTATAAAACAAAAGTCCTCTATCAAAGCACAAGTCTCCCTCTGGTGGATCCGCAACTGCAATTGCATGTATTGTTTTAAAATCTGTGTCAGAAATTAATCTTGACAGCTCACACATAAATGCCCAGTCTGTCACTAAGGGCAGATATCAATAACTTATAAAAATAACTTACAGAAACTGATCTACTTCTACAGTGGGTTCAGACATTTTCTGAAGTGAATCGGAATTTACCTGGTTTACAACTATACTTAAATGATTTTCAGGGAACTTTTGGCAGTGTAACTTTTTTTTTTCCCAAGTCTTTCCTCATTACAGCTGGTAAGTCAACAGTATTTTGTAGATCTGCTGGAACTGATGACTGAATTGGCAGCTAGAGCTTTACCTACACTAAACCATTCCTTCCTGAAAAAGTTCAAAGTGAGCTCAGCTGAACAGTTACTGATCTGCTCTTTTCTTCTTAGTTGGAAATGGTATTTTGCTACAATACTTTGTCAGAGAAGATGACATGTCAAGTATACAGAGTATGCTGTCTAATTTCTTTTCATGAGAATCATAAGAATCTTCCTAACACCTTACTTCTCCCTCTGACTGTAACAATGGGTAATCTACACTCCAAAAAATGTGAAAAGAGACAAATCAAAGTATTAGAAACTAACATAACACCACCATGGTACAAATTTATGATCTTTCTCCCGTTCAGATAGGCAGAACCACAGTTAGATTACAGAACAGATAAAGTTTACAGAAATAAATCTTTTTTTTTTAAGAGAAACACCGCAACAAAGGAACCAGGGAAGCAAAATCTCCCTTCTGATATTTTACTTATTGAAGCAAAGAGTTACGGTCAAACTGCCCTGTCGGTCAGTGATTAGCAAAGGCAAGCTCAGTAATTTGAGTTACCAGAATTTTTCTGTATGCACATAAAAATGTTAGCTTTACCTTTCTTGTTTGGCTCCCTCAGATTCTGTCTGAGAAGCAGATTTGTTCTTTTGCTGTTTCAGAACATTATGAACACGGACTTTGTAGCTCTCGAATTCAGATGTAACAGATGCTTGTTCAGCCTATCACATAGAAAACAAACCCTTAATAAGTTATGCTATTAACTACTGCTCCCTTATTTCCTCTAAAATGAAATGCATCGTACGTTGGGTGGAAAAAACAAAAACAAAACAGAACTACTTGTTGCATTTTCTTCTTTTAAATGGATAATTAAAATAGCGACTACCATAACAGATTATGTTTCTTTAGACTTTAATTGAATATCATAAAACGTGAAACTTAAGAGACATACTCATTTTCAACATACCAGTATTACAGAAAAGAAAGAATACTTGCAAATTCAAAAATTGCATTCAACAAAGGTTCACAAATGGGATTCTATGAAACAGCTTTAAATGAAGGCAAAGGTGAAGGGAAAAAAGGGATAGTTCTGTTTTCCTTTTATACTATTCAGGTGACAAAAATCTAATATGTCTTAAAGTTATCCATAATTTTGAAGAGTTAAATCAGTCTTGTAATGGTAACACACAACACAAGACATAATATTCTAGTAGATTGTCAGGGTGTTTGGTCTGTCTTCTCTTCTAAATTTAGCTGATACACAAGTTTCTGTGGACATACAGAAAATTACCTCACAACATAGTAGTAGCTTCATCCTTGACTGTATGCTATACAGCAAGAATTATTCCCATCCTTCATGTTGTATACTCCTCTAAGAAAACAGATACAGGTTTTCATTCTTGGATCTTAGGAGAAGCTCATGGATTCATTAGTCATCCTTGAGATGACTAAAAAGCTCTCATCTCCAAGAGAAGGACTTTGGAAAGTTTCTCTTCAGCTGAACTGCTGAGTGAAATTCCACAGTGCTGACCCTGATTAGCCACTGCTCCAGCTTTTCCGGAATCTGTGAGATTTGTGGGCATTTTTTAAAATTAATATTTCTCTTTTCTTCCTGTCAGACTATGTGAGACAGAATATTCCTAAATTCTCAGGTCTCAGGGCTTAAATGTAGCATGACTGTTGCCTTCTAACCTACTATCTGCTTTGGTGTTCACCTCTCCTTTAGGCAGATTTTTTCTTTGTTAACAACTTTGTAATAATACTATTTTCTAGATGTAGGGCACCTAAAGAGGAAGGCTAATCTTCCAACAGCTTCAAGCCTTCATGGCTTCAAGGCTCAAGCCATCATGGAAGATCTACCTCCTTACTGGTTTCACAACATCAAGGAGCTAGGCACCATAGATAGGTACAGCAAGTCCCCACTTAAGAATGCATTTGTAAAACCATGATCCGTATCTACCAGTACGATTCAGGCAAGCCTCCTGTAGCAGCAGACACAAAGTTCAGCCATTTCAGTTCACATTTTTAAAGTGCAGAAGTTTTTTTGAGAGGCTGTGTTCAACTGTTAATTAACTGCAGGATGAACAGCTATCATACAAAAGGGACCATAGTGTGCAGCAGTAATCTTCATAAAGACACTTTGAACATAACAGTCCTACTGCATTCTGAATCTGTCTGTCTCCAATGCAAACAATAGATTCCACGAACATCTAACATAGTCTCATAGGGACAAAACCCCCATAAATAATAATAATAAAAAAAACCCCACTCTGCATCAATAGTGTGAGTTTCACATGTAGCTCAGCTGCCAATTAAGAAGCTGCTCATACAGCAGCATATTGAAAGGTGTTTGCAAATAACATTTTTCACAGTTGTTTGGGGTTTTTTTGTTGTTTGTTTTTTTGGTTTTTTTTAAGTGGTATCTATGTTGACTGGTTTTATATAGAAGAAATTATATTCCTTTTTTGTTTGTTCTTCTCCTCTTTTCTTTAAAGACTTGTCTTTTTCCCCACAGTGTATATTTGTTGATCATCTTAAATAAACTTTGCCTCCCCACTGCCACCACAAAGGTTCTCCCTACTGGAAATATAAGAGTTCCACCACAAGCGATATATGACAACCAGGACAGCCTGGCTTGTCCTCCACACCACCCCTCAAATAAATTAAGCACTGTGGTAATTCCCAATTCCTGACAGACAAAAAGAGTGAGAGACCTGCAAATACATATAGAGAAGCAGAGTGCAGTAAATCTCCCTTCTAAAATCTGACATTAATTCTTCCACTAGAGTACCTGGGCTGCTCTGCACTCTTCTTGCAAGGTTGCAATTTTTTGCTGGTAAGAACTCAATGTACGCTGGTGTTGCTCTGAAGAAGTTCGCAGGTGTTCCTGAATTTTATGCTTTTCTGACGTTAGTACAGCCACTTGAATCTGAAAAAGTCAGTTGAAAACTTCATTATGACAAAATTTTTTTCTTCCCTCTCCAAGAGGACACTTCCCTCCCCACAGAGAACACAGGATTCTACTACAGTAATTCCTACATAGAACTGGTACATATAAAATTAAGATCCAATAAAATCAGAATTAAAAAAACAGACATGGGTTACCATGTACTTAATTAAAAAAAAAATTATGATGCTGTCTAAAGACAGAATTGGAGAAAATACAATTACAGTGGTGGGGTGACAATGTTTAAGAAAGCCAACTCCTCTCCCTTCCTTTCCCTGCTACCTTTTATTACATTCAACTCCTATTCTGCCCAGCCAACAAAATTTATACAGATGAACAACACTTTAGATTTTTTGCTGACAACGTTGCATTCTTTTGTTTTTAAACTGAGCAACTTCCATTTTTAAATAAATTATTTTAAAACATATCCCAGTTACAAGCTTCAAACTACACAGTCTTCTCTTTTTGTGGAAAGGGAAAGGAAAGAGGAACAAGAAAGGGTAAATCCGTTTAAAGAATGCCACAGGGGGAATACTTGGTGAAAGCAGCAAACAGACAAAACTCATTTAAGGAAAACAACCAGTAACCTAGTAGTAAAAATAACACCTTTTCATTCTTCAGCCTATATTCCACCTGCCCAGTCCAAATCACGCCCTTATAACTTAAATAAGAAACCTTCTACTAACAAAGAAGTGAAGTTTCTTGCCTTATAGGCTTCCACTTGTTGTTGACTGGATTCCAGTTCCCCTTTTAATGATGCCTGCAACATTAGGTGGTCATTTTCCTGCATGATAAAATTATCTGGTTATTAAAAAACCCCAAACTTCAACAACTTAATAATCCAGCTACTGGCCCATTTTTTAAAGGTTACTTTAAAAATGGAATATACAGTCATTAACATCTGGACTTACAGCTTGTTTTGAATCAGCCAGTTCTTTTTTGGTTTTCACCAGAAGTTGTTTTATCTTGACATTTCTTTCCTCATCCTGTTGCATAGTTGACTGAAGTGATTCTAATGCAGAAAACAGCAGTTATATGAAAAGGAAACTCCCCCTCCTATACTTCCTTAAAAGTATCAGAAAATATTTAGGCAAAAAAATTTCATAAAGAGCTGCAAACAAGTAGCTTACAGTAAGCTTACTATCCTATTTCCAAGTATCACAAAGATCTTCAAATAAAGGAAACTGTTTTAAGACTTAAGGATAGGAAGAAATGAAATTTTTTAACCACATGCTAACTAGCAGTAAAGTTTTTATGAGTGTGGTATGTTAGAATGAAAACACCTGTCAGTCACCGACTTTCACAACTTAATTTCTTACCTGGTTAAGTTCACCATATCAGGCAGGCAATTTGGCTTTTTTTTGTTGAATACTAAAGTGAATGATAACCTAGTGAAGTTTCCTTTATAGAAAATTAATTTTGACTACATAACTGTTCAGTATTCCCTGGAAGGGAACCTTATTCTCACTCATTGACTTAAAAACTTGTTTCTGATTTATATTTTTAACCACTACTAACTATACCATAGTGATGCCTGCTGTTTACAGTTCACTCACTTATTTCTTCCTGGAGGGTCTCTTGCTTCTGTTTCTGAATTCCTGTCTCTTGCTCAAGATCTTCTATTCTGCTGTCTTTATCAGTAATCTTCTGATTAAGTTCTTTTACTAGCCTTTCATAATCAGCTATTTCCATATCCATCAGTGTACTCTTTTGAGCGTCCTGCAAGTTACACACAATGAAGTTACAGCTTACAATCTGCCTTGGCTGCTACGAATATAATTTTTTAAAATTATATTAAAAAAACATATTGCCCATCTAACAGAAACCTTATAACTATCCATATCCAAAAACAATACCCATCCATCAGGTTTCCATATCCTCAGTAAATAGTCTGTTTTCAAACCAGAACCAGAAGCTGTTTTTTGAAAATCCTGTGGCTGCTTTCAGCAGTTTTACCAATAGGCATTTTGCGGATACTAGTTTCTATCATCTTCAGTCATTACAACAAGGGCAACTTCTGAATAGCACACCATACAAGAAGTCCAGACATCTGAATTCTATTCCTATTTCTACTGATGACAGACCACATAAGCTAAAACAAACAAACAAAACAAACCCAAAAGTACACACCAGCTTTCCAAACACAAAACCAGGGGTAAAAACCCTTATGTCTTCCCTTTTGCAAACCCTGGGCTTTAAAATGCTCAGCATGAAGGGAGGCATTCAACACAGCAAGATGGGCCAAAAATCTTTAGTAGTCCATTAAGCACTAACATGAACAGCAACTCTACCTTTCTGGCCAGCTCTAGTTCTTGCATAGTTTTCTGCAGATGTTTCTTTTCCTTCTGAAGTTGCATCTGAAGCTCCTCCATTTCTTGAAGAGCACCAGTATGCTCCTGAAATTTAAATACTTCTCAATTATGCAATCCAATTTCAAAATAGATGTCAGAAACTATTTACACTTACACACACACATTTAGGTGGTACAAAGATAACTGAATCGTTTTTTATGAAACCACCAGGAACCAAAGAAAAATGCAGAAGATTATGAGGTGTTTTTCACATTCTGTTAACAATCCCCAATCTACTCTAAGTGACAGCCTTGCAAAGTTCTTTCCATGAACAGACCAAGCCATCAAAAAGGCTGAGTCAAGTGACAAGAAGAGAAAGTATGGAATTGTTCTATAAAAAACACAATTTACAAAGGTCCAACAGAAGTCACATCCAGTGAAAGTAATGCTTCAGTCCATTCACTATCTCTACAGAGTACTACCTTTGTCTTCTGTTCTTTCAGAAGCTTTTCGGCTTCTAGTTCTTTGTCAACCTTTGCCTTGGCTCTTTGCATCTCCAGTATCTGAGTTTCCAGCAGCTTAGCATTACATTGCAGTGTTTCAACACGAGCCAGGAGGTCTTCATTAGCAGAGTGTAACTGATCATGCTGAAATGATCACAGTGGAAAGATTAAAATGAAAGCTGAATTTGACAGACAAGATACCATCTATATTTAAAAAAAACAAACACCAATTTCTATCTAACTTCCTTACAAACAGCACTCCTACAGATGAGTCTTGTCCATCTTAATTTTTTTAACCAGATTAAGAAATAGGCTAAATTGAAGTCACCAGTGCAGTTTGATTATTCTGTTTAGAGTTTATCTGGCCATCTTTCTGTAAGATGAAGTAACAAGAAATGTGAAAAAAATACCCTGACATTTATGCTTTTTGCAACAATCACCTTCCTCCCACAATAATACACAACATTTGAGTACTTATTGCCCTGCATCAAATACAGCTACTGTATTTAAATAAATGATCATACTACTAATTCCTAAAAAAAGATTTAACTGCAGCACCACCAAGATTTCAATGAGATCATACCAGTACATAGTAAAAATTCCTCCTGTATAAGGACTATTTTCGCAATAATTTTAAGATTTAATTTTGACATCTTCAGTGTTTTATCTCAGTCTCTATTATGCAGATTAAGAATGAAGTACAAGTGAGAGAAGCTGGTAATTACCTGAACAGTGTTTTTATTTACAAAATACTTCATAACAAACTTGAAAAATTAACCACCTGCATAATCAGCAGAATATATGCTACTATTTGTCATTTCTTCCTAAGCTATTCACTACTAGCTTCCATTTATAAGGAAATGGTGGCCCACGTGGACCCTCAGTGTAATTATGTATGGGGTTTGGGAGTTTAAATCCTAAATCCCAAACCCACTGCAGTTTGCTTTCCAAAAACGTGTCTCATAGCTGCTTAATTACCATCTTAGGTCCTTCTGCATGCAAGTTTCATCCTTGTGAAAGATGCAAAACCACATAACTAGCATGTTTAAACACTCAGTTAAAGAACAAAACCACATTTTGTCTAAAAAATCAAAGAAAAAAATATTAACAGTTAAAGGTTATCGTAATTCATGAGAAGTGTAGGTGTGAAATCAGAGAAATAGTGCAATTTTGATCCTTTGTTTTTACATCTGGCAGGTGCAGCACAGTTGCACCAACCAAGCCAGAGGTGATCACCTGCTCTCTTCTGTGAGTTGACCTGGGTTAAATGAAACCCTTTCTATTGAAAAAGCCAGACATTCTAGATGTATTTACCTTATCTGGGCCATGAAAAAGGTATACGTATGTTGAAAAAACCCCCAAACCCCTGAATTTCAAGTCACTATCCAAAATGCACTTTGGATACAAAACTATATAAAGTAACAATCACATGAATCAAACTTACACTTAATAGGTAAAGTATTTTTTACTGTAATTATCAATAGATCAGACACACATACAGAACTGACCTGCTGGGATGACACCTGTAGCTGTCTGGTGAGGTCATCTACCTGATGTTCAAGATTATTTGCTCTACCTTTTTCAGAATCCAGCTGTTCTCCTTGCTTATCATATTCCATCAAAAGATTCTTAACACATACAAACACAAACCATAATTTTTACAATAGACATTACATAAGCACATTCTATACCTCAGTTGCTTACTTATCTTCCTAATAATTCAGCATATGAGTTATCTTACTGCAACATCAGAAATATCAGAATGAAATTAAAGCTATTGTTCCATTACAGGCTCTGAGAGAAACCCTTTTCAGTTGCTGAAATTCTAGAATAATTCAGGTTGGAAGTGACCTCTTGAGGTTACATTCAACCTTCTGCTTAAAGTAGGGTCAGCAGTGAGACAGGACCAGGTTGCTTAGAGCTTTGTCCCGTCAGGTCTTTCCAAGAACCTGCCTCCAAGGATGGAGATGACACTACACCTTTGGGCAACCTGTTCTAAAGCTTTATCATCCTTAGTAGGGTAAAAATGTTTATCCATATATCTCATTTTAACTTAGGACTACTGTCTCTCATCTTGTACTGCTATTAATAACCTGACTCTACTTCCTTGATAATACCTTTGTAGGTACTGAAGGCTGCTATTAGATCCCTTTGAAGTATTCTCCAGGCTGAGCAATTTCTCAGCCTTGTACATCACTTATTCCAGTTCCTTGACCATCCTGGTCACCCTCCACTGAAATCACTTCAGGTTATCAATGTCTTTTCTTGTATGTGGGCAGAGAAGGAGCAACAAGACTGACTGCAATACTTTCAATGATGTTACAGAATTGTTTAGGTCGGAAAAGCCCTTCAAAAATCATTGAGTGCAACCATAAGCCTAATACTGGCAACACCACTAAACCATGTCCATAAGTGCCACATGGACAAGTCTTTTAAATATCTCCAGGGATGGTGACTCCACCACTTCCATGGGCAGCCTGTTCCAATGCTTGACAACCCTTTCAGTGAAGAAATATTTCCTAATATCTAATCTAAACCTCCCCTGGTGCAACTTGGGGCCCGTACCTCTTGTCCTATCGCTTGTTACTTGGAAGAAGAGACCAACACCCACCTCGCTACAACCTCCTTTACAGTAATTTCTGAGAGCAACAATGTCTCTCCTGAGCCTCCATTTCTCGAGGCTCAACAACCCCAGTTCCCTCAGTTGCTCCTCAGAGGTCTTGTGCTCTAGACCCTTCACCTTCATGGGATTGCTGAGCAAAGACAGACAATAACTTCCCTTGACCTACTAGCTGTACTCCTGTTCTTGGAACCCAAAATCCTGCGGCCACCTTTGGTACCAGAACACACTTTTCTCAGTATAGTGCCTACCAAAACCCTGAAATTCTTTTCAGAAGCCACACAGTCCCCAGCTTGTATCAAGGAGTCCCTCTCTCCCACATGAAGAACTTTGCATCTGTCTTTGTAGAACTCCAAAAGGTTTCTGTCAGTCCATTCCTCACACTGGTCTATGTCTCTCTGAATAAAAGCCCTGCCCTCAAATCTATTGACTGTTCCCAGTTAGGAATAATCTGAGAATTTGATCAATGTGATCTCCATTACCTTCTCCAGGTAACTGTTAAACACACCCCTTTGGTATATCATTTGTTAGTGGCATCTAGTACAAGCTATTAATTGCTACTCTCTGAGCCAAACCATGCAACTATTTTTTTTATTTTCTAAGCATTCATTCAGTTGTTTACCCATTTAGATCATAGCAAAGATACAAGAGTACTGTGAGAGAGCATCAAAATCTTTTCTGAAGTCAAGATAAGTGACATGCACTGTTCTCTCATCCACAGCTCCAACTGTTATCATGGCAGACAATCAAATTAATCAGACACAGTTCTCTCTTGGAGAATCAAAGCTGACTGTCCCCAGTCACCTGCTCCTGCTTCATGTGTCCAGAGACATGCTCTGAGAAGACTCAGTCCCAGGGAATTTGTTAGTTTATATCTTTATCACTTAAGGACTTTCTAAATGATCCCCAGTTTAATGTACTTTGAAGATTTCATAAGAATTTACGTTTTGCCTCAGCAACACATTCTTTGATACGTATGATGTTAGATTTAAAAGGTTTAAAAATACCATCCAGTAGAAAGGAAGTGCCTTATTTTCTTCTGACAGTAGCCATGCAGTTCTATGGCTACAACCTTACATTCCATGATTTGGGTACTCAACTGCAGTGACATAATTTCTTTTGCCAAACATACTTGTGCAATTAAATAGCAATATTATCTTCAGGGTAGGCTTCAAAAGCGAAGTATTTTCTGACAGAGAACTGTCTTTTGTAAATATAGTATTATTCTTACCTTATAGCTTTCAGCTCCTTGAATGACATCTTTCATTGAAGCAGACAACTGATCTTTTTCTGATCGAACCAACTCCAATTCTTCCCTCAGAGTCTGCATCTTATCATAAAGAAGTATGTGTCATTAAAACAGAACCCCACATGCAGAATGTTCTTCATACTAAGCAGTAGTCAGAGTACCTCTTTTCGGCTGGCATCTAATTCTTTCTTTGCTTTCACAGCAACAACCTTGATTTTATTTAGTTTCTCTCCTTTTTCTGCAGATTCTTTTTCCAGCCTTCCTAAAATAAATAAATAAGAAAGTGAAAAAATATTCCCCATCTCTCCCCCAAGAAACAAAATGAAATGAAATTAAATTACAGCACAAATACCAGCATGACTTTGAAACAAAACAAAATATAAATCAGGGGGAAATGTTCAAATGTTTCATTCAGTTAAGCATTTAAATTTAATTTGAATGCTAGAACATCCAACTGCATGGAGAGCTTAGGGAAAATCTTCCCATTTTAGAGGCTTCCATCACAATTAACATCAAAAGCCGTATTCCTGTCTGCTTCTACATACAGTTGTAACAACTTGGAAACATCTTCCTTCTGATGCGCTGGGATAACTGCAGCGAGGCAACAGTAATTTTGGCAAAGTGTTGCTTTCCTCTCCTCTTGGCAGCCTTAGGGATTCTTACTTATACAATTATTTTCCATGTTTAAAAAAGTAAGGATGAAATCCACCACACTGTCTATAGCCAAATGTACAGAGGAAGAAAAAACCTTAAGACATATCAAATGGTAACTGACTTAAGACTGTTAACAATATTTTAAATCCCTAATGGAAGGAATATTGTAGCAAGTTGCACTGATAGCTACTTCTCCGCCTTCCCTGGCTTGTAGGAAATATGGGACAATTATGCAGAGAAAGAAAAACAATCCAAAATCCCCAATCTGTTTACATAAAAGAGAAGGGCAAGAAAGATACCAATTTTTTCTTGAAGCTCTGCTGCTGAAGACTGTTGATCAGTTTTCTCAGTCAGTGTCTCCATTAAATTCTGTATTATAAACAAAGATAGAAGTATTACAAAAATTTCTTTTGTGATATCTGTTCTTCCCCTAACAAGCTAACAGAAGTTTCAGCTACAGCTGGACTGTGCTTACAGTCCTACTACCAAGAAAGTCTTTATGTACTATTTCATATCAGCTTTGTAATAGAAAAGCATACTTATGTTGAAAGGAAAACACTTCAACCTTTTAACAGCTGCTTTCCATCCTGTCCATGGATAAAAAATGGGCAACCATTAATTCTGCAGCTGTTAGTTTTACATAACCATCAATTTCCAAGACCTTACGTTAGGAGTAGCTAATCCAGATCAAACAGGAGTTTTGTTTGAGATGGAGATCACAAAGTTAGATGTGAAAGATTATGAGGTCAGTCTATCTAGTTAAATGATCACTTTGAGGGGTATTGATAGGAAGAGAGGTTCAAGTACAAGAAACTTTTGTCAAAATAGCACTGTGACTGGTTTTGTTGGGTTGTTTTTTTCACCCTGGGGGGAGGGAGGGGTTTCTGAGATGCTAGGTAACTCAGAATGGTGCTTTCTAGAAGGGGAAACTCACTTTGAGGCCAAGGAAAAAAAAAAAAAAGAAAAAAAAGAAAAGAGAGAATTGAAAGTATTTTTTGAACCTTAATTCTGAAGACTTTAGAGGTTTAGTCTGTATACTTCAATAACAAAATATAACCTTTAGAGAACTCAGTTCGTCTTTCACATTTCTAAGCTCAGTTTCCTTTTGTTCCAGAATGACATTTAAGTTGTCTTGTATTTCTGATCCTTTCTGCTGTTCTTGTATTTGACTTTCACAAAAAGCAAGTTTTTGAGTGATCTCTTCAATATTAACTAAAAGATCTTGATTTTCAATCCTTGTTTTTTCACTGGCATTCTTCAGCTCCTGGATATCATGTTGAAGTGCTTCTTTTTCAGACAACACTCCTTCCAGTTCTTCTCTTAAGAGATCCTTTTCTTTTTCAAAATCCTTAATCAGGGATCTATGTTCTGTATATTGAGCTGCATTTTCTTCCTCTAGTCTCTCAACTTCCTGCTGTAAACGAAGAACATTCTCCTCGTTCTGTACAGCAAGGCACTGCTCTTCCTTCATTTTTGCCAAGTATTCATCTGCAATTTGTAACAAGTGAAGTGAATCATATTGCTCATGTGAATCTGAAATGCTGGACCCCACTTGCTCAAGTAAGTGGTACAGCTGAGTTCTAACAAGGGATCTGTGTGCTTGTTCACTTTCAAGTAATGTTGATATACGGTCTTTTTCTGCAGTCATCATTTGTAGTTTCTTTTCTAAGTTTTCAGATTGATCTTTCAACACTAACCAACCATCTTTTTCAGATGTAATTTTTTCCAGCTCTTCACTTAATTTGCATTTTTCCTGAATGATTTTCTTATTTTCCTCACGAAGAGTATATGCTTCAGATGAAAGGTTCTCTCTTTCATGCACCACAGATTCAATCTGGTTTTCCAGTTGTTCTAGTGTTTGAGCATTTTCATTCTTCCAAGTTAAAGCTTCATTCAGTCTCTCTGTTAATTCCTCCACCTTTTTCTTCAGGTTGCTATTGTACTGGTTAGCAACACTTAATTCTTGCTGAAGTTCCTGAACTTTGCCTTGTTCTTGCTTGCATCTTTCCTTAAGGGTTTCTCTCTCTTCACCCAAGCATTTTACTTCATTTAAAATATCTCTGTTTTGATCAGTAAGAGCAATGATTGTCTCTTCCAGTTCTTTCATAGCAGTCTCTTTTTGGTTGATGGTGCTTGTTATTGTGTTATTCTCCTCCTGAAGACTAACAATTTTACATTTAAGTTCTTCTATCTCTAGGCGACTGGATGACAATTTTTCTGTTTCTTCCTGGAGACGATTCACAGTTTCAAGAAGAACATCCTTTTCATTGAAAGCAGCTCGGAGTTTCTGCTGCAGTTCACTGACATCAGAAGCTTGTTGTTGTCTCATTGATTCAAACTCCTGGCTGATCTTTCCAGCAGATTCCCCTAGCTCAGTCTGTAGATTTTCCATTGTTTCTCTCAGGCTGTTGTAACTGGACACTGCTTCTTCTTTCTCCTGGGTTAGCTTTTCAAGTTGTTCTCCAAGTTCCTGCATTTCAAAAACTAACGACATCTTTTCTTTTTCAAAACCAGATATTAAAGTTTCATTTAGTTCAGAAATTTCTCTCTTATGTTGCTCTTTCAGAGTTTGAGTCTCTAACCCATGCTCTTTTACAGCAGTTTCACTGTGCTGTCTTGCTGCTTGAAGATCCAATTTTAGCTTTTCAATTACACAACAGTAATCTTCTTTAGTAAGCTGCAATTCATTTATCTTAAAGTCCAAGTCTTCCCGCTCATGAAAGTACTCATCCTTTATGCGATGAATTTCCTCCTCCAGTTTTAGTTTAACATTACTCATGTAAGTTAACTCATCTTTTAATATACTATGTTGGGACTGGAGCTCTTCTAAACTATGCTCCAGCTGCCTAACCTTTTCTTCCAATTTTGCTTCTATACAAGGTTCTTCTTGTGCATCTACAACATCTATCTTTTTTTCTACATTTTTATTTAAGATTTTTCTCAGCTCCTCCAAGTCATATTCACACTGGTCAGTACAAGCACACATTTCATCCTTTGCATTTTTCTCTATTAATCTCCCCTCTGCCAAACTGTGCTGTAACTGATTTATTTGATTTTGCTTTTCTTCATTTTCTTTAGATGATATTTCAATACGATGCATCAACTCTGACACCTCTTCCTGATGGGCAATTTTTAATTTTTTAAGCTCTTCATTCAGATTTTTTATTTCATTATGGTAACACTGAGAGTTGCTTTTAATAGTTTCTTGTAGATTTGTCACTTCTCTGTTTTTATCTTCATTCATAGTTTCCAACTGCTTGCTCAGACACGAAATTTGCTCCTCATAAGTAGATTTAATTCTCTGGACATCATCTTGTAATCTTTTAACTTCTTTCTGACTATCACTATGACATTCAATCTGTTCCACCAGCCCCATTTGTTTCTTCACTTGTTCCTCTAATTCCATTTTCAGCTTTGTTAAGTCCTCATTGTGTTTGCATTGTGCGTTTGCTAATTCACTCTTCAGAGCTTTTATTTCTTTCAGAGAGTCAATACTTGATTGCTCCAGTTGCTTCTGCAATTCTTCTGTCTTAGCCACTGCAGCCTAAATAAACATGAAAGTTATTATATACCAGTAATCCAGCACACAGAATTTCCAGATAAACTGATTACAATAATGAATTAGAAAATTTAGGAGTCCTTAGTTTTAAAAATTGCTGTAGTTTTTAAATATCTAACTATATTAGGACAAAACAATTTATGAGACGCCACAGAGAATACAAAATCCTTTGCAGAATGAGAAAGGAAAACTAAGTCTTAAATCATGTTTACCAGCATAATGTCACAAAACGGTCACGATAAACTTCAGCTTTAGCAACTATGCTGACAATGCATTAAAGACCAAATTACTTTTAGTGCATCAAATTCAAGTATCTGGAATATAACAACATTCATCAATTGCAAGCGATCCACTCTTCACTTTATTATTAATTGAGATTAGTGACATAATATAGATGCCTTGGCTGACAGGCTCCTTCCTGTGAATATCTGAATGTAAAGCTCCTATTTCCCACGGAAAGACAGAGCTGACTGATTGAAGCCATCACATATGTAGGCTACTAATGCACAGACTGAATCACTTCAGAACAGCTATGGATTTAGTTAGTGCATATAAGAATTTTATATTTATTGTCAATTCTATAAAAACTATAAATTAGGGGATACAGAGAAAATACGCTTTAACATATGAATTCTTTATATTTTTTTAAAAGTAATACAGAACACAGGCAAGTGAAGATCAAAATGGAAGTGAAATACACAACAACAAAACCTAGAAAACAAATATAAACATAGTTCTGAAATATTTTAGTAATGTTCTGTTGCTCATTTCAGTACCTCTGCTTCTTGTTTTGTTTGAGTATTTTCTTTTTTCAGAGCTATGCACTGCTGCTGACTTTCAGCTTTTTCAAGAAGTACAACATCCAGTCTTTCTGTGAGAGCCTGATTTTAAAGAAAAAAAGATCACTGAAAGAAGGGTTTCTTAACAATGGATGTGTGAACAATTTTTGCAAACCATAGGTACTCACGTATTGGTCATGACTTTTTTTGTCAATTAAACAGATCAGTCTGATTTGAACAGTTACTTTCAGCCTGAATATGACAGAGGTGGAATATGCAGATGAAAACAATGATGATGAGTAATAGATCCTGTTCAAAATCATATTTCCAATCAGTTAAACTTTTATCATCAGGTTAGGGAGGAGCTCCCCTTCCATAGAAAAGAAATTTCCATCCAAATTTTTAAAACCAATTTTCCAGTTGATAAATTTCTCCTCACTACCAATTTTAACTTTCATATGCTATGACCCTTACTTTGAGAAAGACAGATATTCTTGCCACTTAAAAAACAAATTCCAGTTACTTTCCTGAAAGTATTTCTTGTGACATGCAACTTTAATTATGTGTTTCTGATCTCATCAAATGACTGTCTCAGAATTCTAAATGGTTGAAGTCTTTCTTCAGTGGTCACTCCAAAATAAACAAAAGCCTCTCTAACCAGCTACGCAAGGAAAACGTCTTGCTGAGAGAATAGTATTATCCTGCGCTGTTCCTCACAGAACTGACAGTTCAGACTTCTGAGTGGAGTAAGGATGTAGAGGAAGGAGGAAAAAAGGTTTTAGGAAGTGTCCTGAATTCCTGAAAATTTATTACATTCCATTTGAATAACAGTCTTAAAGCTATTTACTAGTTACCAAATTAATTCTGTAGATTTATTTCAGCTAACATTACATAATACATTGGAAACCTATTACATATTCCTACCTGAATAATATCATCAGCTCCTCCAGTAGCTGCTTTAGATCTGAGTTCTTCAATCTCTTTCTCTAGTTCTTAAAGAATATAGAAATTTCACAGCATGAATTGATGCTCCACCACAGTAGAAAATTACTAGTAAATCCAGTGACTAAAACCACTCCTATTCAAATCAGAGATGTCTTTTACTTCATCAATTTTTGTTTGTTACTGAGTGATAGAAAGGGCTAATGGAAAGAGAACAAACATTCAGCACTACTTGTCCAGTCCTGACATTTAGCATGTTTCCTGAGGAAGCAAAGCTTCCTTGTTTGAGTAGAGGGACAACAGATAGAGATTTTTTTTTTTTCTGATTGTCTTCCCTTCTAGTTAATGATCAATTTAAGACAGAGAAGAGATACTCAGTTCCTACTGGTTCTCTAAAAATAGGCAGCAGGTAAAAGAACAAGATCTTAGGAATAACCCCACTGAGGAAAAGCCTAGTATAGCCCATCCCCATCCTTATTGTTTTGCTAGGCAGCTACCAGCAGTCAGCATAACTGTAACTCCAAACGAGAAGTGACAAGAGTCCAAGCAGTGGGCCACTGGAGGAAAAGGGACAGCAGAGAGGGGAGGGACAGCACATGAGAGTGCAGATTTACACAGGATACTTCCAGGTAGTTAAAATATACCCAACAAAATTTAATGTTATGTCTTGTTAAAGAAGCAAATAATCAAATATAATGTAGCTAAGTATTTTAAAGAGGCCATTATACTCTAGAAAAGCAGTAATTATTAGAAAAATTCTATCAGACACATTCCCCCTCTCATCTACTTCCTGAAAAGCAACAGATATCCCTGCAAGCAATATGGGGAACAGACAATGACATCCCACTTCAACTCGTGCACAAGCTACATTGTTCCATCATGTCCTACTGCCAGACAAAAATTAATTTAATACCTGACAAAAATCAATGCTTCTTTTTCTTCCCTTCCTTGCTCTAAGTACTTTAGTCCTTATCCTTCCACAAAAAAAAACCCTGGTGAAATTGTAGGAAAAAAATCTATGATATTTGCCTGGAATTTAAATCTACCTAGCAAAAATACGCAGTGATATTAGGAAAGGTCTGATAGTACCAAGCATTAAGGTAGAAATTGTTCTCTTTCCAGTAAGGTACCTGTACATCTTGACTTCACTTTCTGTATAAGCATCACTTGCTTTTTTGCAAACTTGATGAGATCTTCTCTGGGCAATGTGTCCAGCTGGAAAAAAAGTACGTATTAGAGAAACTAACTTCCTCTAACCCAGAGGTAAACAGAAAACAGTATTTTAGCATCCGACTTCTAAGAAGTTAAGTTTTAGGGCATGAAACTGTCTTAACAGACATTTGTGTGTAACAGTAACAGTCAAGTTACTGCAGTCAAGTTACAGTAACATGGACAGTAACAGTCCAAGTTACTGCTGTTCTGCTGTCCAAATCTGTTATTTCAAGTGCAGTAACAGAAATTACTCTTAATCTTGCACTTTTCTGAAATCATCCTAGAGCACACAACTGGGCAGCATCAGTTAGAGAGGAAAACTCAATTGGGAAGGGCTACAATTCAGTAATATAATTTGAACAATGTTTTGAAAATAGCACTGCTGACCTAACATTGACACTGTTTAAATTTACTTCCAACATATCCAAAGAAGTCTGTTGTACATCATGAAAGACTATTATCAAAACTGGATGTTACTAATATTTTACCAACTTATAACAAAAAGTGAAGATATCAATGAGATTTTCCCACCATCTTTCCCAAAACATCTTAGCCTAATGTTTATAAATAAATTTTTCAAGAAGTCTAAAAGACAGGAAACTGTTTAAAAATATCTTTATGTCTTCCTATTAGTCACAGCTTGCATGCTAAGCTTACATAACCTTTTCAACTACTGCTACCCAAATAAATTTGTGAGGACTGATTACCTTTGATTTGCCTGATCCTGGTGTGACAGAAGACGCCACCATCTCTTGCCCAGCATCCTGAACCTACAACAAAACAAAGTACAGTCTTTGGATTGGTGTAAGACTACCAAAGGAACTAAATGAAATTCTGTAAACACTGAGAATAACTGAATATAGTGAGAGCTCAAGAAAAAAAATAAAAATATATTTGTAGGACTAGTCAGAAGGATAATGGAAAAAAAATGATAGAGCTCTATTGTGATTGGTACAATACAACTGCAGAATAGAAAACTCCAGATTTCCAAACAAGTATGATCTGATTCTATACTGCATTGACATCTAGAGTTGATACACTACTAAAAAATAATTTTATTTACAAGAAATTGCAAAGACATGACTCACTATCTTGTGCTTAAGAGACTCATTAAAAAAAGGCATGAATGAAAATAATATAGGTGTAGCAATTAAATAAAACTTTGGGTACTTTTGAATCACATATACTCCTCAACTTTTTATTGTTTCTTTCTTAAACACACTGGTCATCACTAAAATTGTTGGCCTAACAAAAACAGTTGAAAAGACTTTGCAAAACCAGGGCTCTTTTGAACAAAATATACCACCACCACCCCACCCCGCTTTCCCCCCCCCCCC